AAGTGAATATTCTGCCAACATGGCTCGAGCAGCTTGAATTAATGTTCTATTTTTTCTTTTGACTACCCCATTCTGCTGTGGGGTTCTAAGTGCGAAAAAACTGTGATCAATCCCTTTCTCCTTACAAAATTCTTCAAATTTTTAATTTTCGAATTCTCCTCCATGATCACTTTGAATTGTCAAAATCTCACATCAGAATTTCCTTTGAATCCAAGTCAAAAAATTTCTAAATTCTTCAAATGATTCACTCTTATGATATAGAAATCTAACCCATGTGAATATCGAGAAATCATCCACAATTACAAATATGTATACCTTCCCTCCTAGACTTATAATTCCAACTGGTCCAAAAGGATCCATATGTAAAATCTCTAATGATTTACTAGTTCTAAGATCCTTATTGGACTAAAAAGATGACCTCACATATTTTCCTAGTTGACAAGCATCACAAAGGTGGTCATTAGTAAAGTCTAATTTTGATTTACCTGTCACTAGGTTCTTTTGGGTAATCCTCCAAAGTTTTTTTATGCTAGAGTGATAAAGTCTCCTATGACAAAGCCATGACTCATTAGAAATACTTTTTAAACAAAAAGCAATAGGAGTTTTGATATAGTTCAAGTCTAGCATATACACATTATTTACCCTAATACCATTCAAGACATCAATACCAATCAGGCTTAATATACAGCTTGTAGAGAAAACTTTTACACAGTAACCTTGATCATATAACTAACCGATACTCAGAAGATTATTTTTTATTCTTTCTACTAACAAAACATTTTCTATAAAAAAGTTTTTTAAGTTCCCAATTATACTTGACCCTACCACCTTTCTTATCGTGTTAACTCTAAGTATAACCCTGCTTCCACTCCTGGCTTCCAGCGATATGAATTGTGCAGTATCTCAAGTCATATGCTTTGAGAAACTGCTGTCTGGGTACCATATACTCTTATGAGGCCTAGTGTTAGAGCGATCCTGCAAAAATATCAAATGTTAGACCCGGGAATCCAAATAAGTTTGGGTTCACCTTTTTGCAAATTATAAACAGATGCATGTATGTTATGTCTTGGTTTATGCATCTTAGGTCTTCACACAAAATGAATTTTCTTATCCAATTTATAGGTGTGTGCTATATGTCCAAACAATCCACAATTAAAGCATTTGACTCCAAAAAATGAGTTTCTTAATCTTCTATAGTTTTTCTATCTATTAATAGTTTCCATAAATTTAGGATATAAAATAAGATTTATGAAATCTTCAAATCTTAGGGGTATCCTATTTTCCTTGAGAGCTTTTATTGTTAGTTTATAAAATGAATTCATATCTTGTAATATATGATTTGTATAGTTTTATTTGATAGTTTTTACTCTCAAATTCATCCTTAAAATCTTTAAATTCTTTTTCAAGTTGTACATAGGATGATTTTAAATTTTCATGGTTCTTATTCAAATCGTCAAACTCTTCAAGTAATTTTATGTGGTTATTATCAATTAAAGCATGATCTTTCCTAAGGATCTCTTATTGTCTTTGCAGTTTATGTAACTCTAAGTTCAGACTAGTATGTATTTTCTTTAACTTCCTATATGCAACAAGTATGCATTTTGAAACTTCTAAAAGTTCATTGTAAGTTAAGTCACATACCTCTTCTTGATCTAACTGATCAAGATTATCGGCCATCAGGCATAGAATGGTGACTTCCTCTTCCTTTTCAATTGTTATCAATTCTGAAGCTGAGTACGCCCAGAAAGCTTTTTGGAATTTCTTCTTACCATTCTTCACTATTGGTTTCTCCTCTACCTTCTCCTTGTTAGAAGTGGCTTTGAGTTTTTGGCAGTCTGACTTAATTTGTCCAGGTTTCCTACACTCATAGCAAATAACATAATTTGAAACCTTAACATTTCTATTGAATTTCCCTCGATTCCATTGCTGGCATCTCTTTTTCTTCCTCTTTTTAGAAAACTTCTGAACTATCTAGTCATTAGTGTGATATCATCTTCATCCTCAGGTTGTGATAGATCACTCTCTGACTCTTCCACTTTCAGTGCTATATTCTTCTACCTTTGTGGTTCATCTGCATCAATCTTTCTTTGACTCACTCCTTGCTCGTAAGTAATTTCTGATCCAAGATGTTTATCAATAGAGTAAATATTTGAATCTTTAGACTCTAAAATCCTAGTTATTTTTGCATCATATGTAGTAGGAAAACAACGAAGTATCTTATTAACCATTTCAATGTTCGTTAGTACCCTACCCAATACATATAAAGAGGTAAATATTTGTGTGAATCTTGTGTACATGTCAGAAATGGAGTCATTAGGTTTCATGCGAAACAATTTATAGTCATGCAATAAGATATTAAGTCTAAATTATTTAACTTCATTAGTCCCATCATATGTTATATAAAGTCTATCCCATATGTCCTTTCCACTCTTGCAAGTGGAAACTGACATGTAATCTTCTGACTTAAGTGCACAAAATAAACTATTTAAATATTTAGCATTTAGTTGTGCTAAGCCACGTTCTTCTATTATCCAATCCGCAAAGGGACTTTCTACTCAAATGTCATCAACTAGTCTAGTTGGTTTTGTATACCATTCTTGTACTAAAATCCATATGCGATAATCAAGTGACCGTAAAAATGTAAACATGCATGTTTTCCAAAAATCAAAAGGGATATTATCAAACAAAGGAGGTCTTATGATCAAATATCCTTCAGGTGTTTTTTTGTTTCTTAATGTAGTCATAGACGTTAATCAAAAAGTAGTTTAAACTTTTGGCTTTGAAACAAAGCTCTGATACCACTTGTTGAAACTTGTTAAATATGAATTAGGTTGCTAAACCTAAGTTTATGTCCCAAAAGGCTAACCAAGAGGGGGGTGAATTGGTAATTTAAAAATTCTTCCTCTTCAAACCGATTAAAGTTTTAGTGAAATTTTAAAACAATATTTCAACCACAGATCAACATAGAAGAAATAAAGTAAAAAATAATATAAAATTAAAAACACAAGATTTATAGTGGTTCGGTCAAATATGTTGCAAATCTATTTTCATGACTTATGTTTTGATGATTGACAAACACTATTGATTCTGTTGGACTGCCTGTTACTTCTAACTTTTCAGAAATCGAAGATCGGATGAACAAACGAAGCTAGTTCAAGATTGCGTAGGTCAAGGGTTGAGTCAGTCTGTACTTTATTTTTTCTTCTTGAGTCTATTTGTAATGGTCAAAGAGACTGATGCTAAGTAACCCTACACACACACACACACACTTGAGAGACTTAGAATTTCTGTTTTTACTCATATCAGCCAGGACGATATTTACATCGTTCTGGACGATCAGGCTTAAAACAGAAAGTCTAAATAAGGATTCTTAATTAAGGCAGCCGCCATTAATAGATCATCCTGGACGATACGTGTATCGTCTAGGACGATAAGTTAAAAACAGAAAGAAGTTGCTGCCAGAGACAATTAAGGTATACTGTATTTTTAAATAATCGGCCTAGACGATATACACAAATTATGCCTTAATTGATCAGGAAATTAAGGGAGTAATTAAGGATGATTGATACGATCATATCGTTCTGGATTATCACAGTATCGGCCAGGACGATCGATTCAAAAAAGCTTAGTTACTTCAGGACGATAAATATTGACCAGCTCAAATTCAGGGTGATGCTCTGGACGATTTCCCTCTGATTTGAACTGATCGGCCGGGACGATCGTGAGATCGGTCTGGACATGTGGGACAATAATTTTCCATGAGGATCGCATATTTAACTCGTGTTGGGAAAAATGCAATATAGTGAGAACCACTTCTTGAGCTTCTACGAGTCACCTTTAGAATCCTATCTATTTGTGGATGTTATAAGGTCATAATAAGGATATTAATAAGAACACAAGTTACATAAGTGTGAAATATTGTATGTTAAGCAGAATAAAAATAAACTCTTAAACATCGAGGCACCTTTTGATGTAATGATTTAAATTTCATTAAAAACTTTAAAGTTAAGCATGCTAATGAAGAAAATGGATCAATAATTGAGAAATTATACAAGAACAAAACCGTCAATTCATGAGGACAAAGTGGACAATTTGTTGATGGTTCATAATTTACAAACACCTCCTAAATTCAAAGAGATTGTCCAAAGAAACGGAAAGTGATCGTTGAGGTTGAGCCAAATGCCACATCAAAAAAAGAAGAAAATTTTATTTTTGGGTTTTTTGTGCAACGAGTTTTTTTTTTTAACTCCATAATTAAGTGTATTACAACAACAAAATCATCAAGTCTTTATCCCACTACTTGGGATCAGCTACATGAATCCTTTTTCACAATTATATCTTGTTAAGAGTCAAAATCTCATTTAAATCTAATAAAAAATGACATTTCTAATATTTTGTAACAAGTTTTTTTATGTCTACTTCTACCTTTCTTAACATAGGCCAAATATAATACATCTACTCTCCTAACCAGGTCATCAGAAGGCCAACGTTTTGTGTGACCAAATGATCTAAGGCGACTCTCTCTAATCTTATTGACCACCATAGCTTCTCCAACCTTTTCACATATATATTCGTTTTGCATTCTATCTCTAAGAATAAAGTCACTCATCCACTTGAGCATCCTCATCTTTGCAACACAACTTAATTTTATACTTCTCTTTTAATGTCCAACATTCTACGTCATACAGCATTGCAAGTTTCACCACCATCTAATAGAATTTTCACTAAAGTTTGACTGATAATTTTCTATCACACAATAAGCCCAATGCATTCCTCCACTTCAACCATCCAACTTAAATTCTACTAATAATATCCTAATCTATTTCAACATCACTTTGAACAATAGACCCGATATATTTAAAATGAGTACTCTTTTTAATGACTTGATCGCCCAAAGTCACAATCCCCCCAATAGATCTATTTCTACTAAAATTATATTGTACGTATTTGATTTTAGATCAACTCAAACAAAAACTTTTAGACTCTAACATTGACCTCCATAATTCAACTTTTCGTTCAACTCCCTCTCTAGTCCTATCAACAAGAAGAATATTATCTACAAAAAGCATACACCAAGCTACATCCTCTTGCAAATGTCTAAGAACATCCCTGACTACAACAAAAATACATGGGCTTAAATGCTAATCATTGATGTAATCCAATTGAAATAGGAAACTACTTAGTCAAATCACTGTGTTTAAACATAAAATATAACTCCTACATACATATCCATAATGATTTGAATATATGCATTATTAACTCCTTTCTTTTCTAGAGCACAAATTGCATTAACTAAATTATGATTCACAGCCAAAATTTGGCAATGCAGTACAAATTATTAAATATAGTACAAGATAAAGAAATAAAAGAAAGCGAGGTGGCAGAACTCATCAGTAATATAAGCTGCAAGTCAGTCTCCATGGAAATTTTGGACTGGACGAGAAATACTGATCTAAATTTAACTCAACTCAGAGTGCAAGACACATTTTGAATTACAACCATCGATGATTATTTTTATACTTTCCTGCAAAATATAAATTTTGATTAACAAAAACCCTAAAATCCTCAACTAAATTTAGCTAGAATATCTGAAGCCAAATTTTATTTCTGGGTTCATCCTCCTGGAAGCATGAAAAAAAGTCACCTGGTTGACCATCTTAAGTTCTTATACAATTATAACAAGGAGACAGGAAACGCTTTCAAAAAGAAAGGAAGCGCCTTTATTCCGTAGGCTGCATCAATGTTTACCTTCTTCTCCAGGAACAAAGGATCTTTCTCGTCGAGAGAAGGGAGGCACAGAGTTAGCACTCCATTTCTCTGCACTTGCCCTTTGGCAGCCATTTGAATCTCCTGTGAGTGATTGAATTGAACGGAGAGCAATATTGAGGATTGTACAGCAGGAAACAATAAATAGTTCCTGATCGAAATTTGCTCTGTATATAAGACGAGGTTTTTTTTAGGGTTTTACCTGATTCTGCTGACGTTGGGCATGAAAGGTCTCCATTTCTGCTCAACTCGGAATATATATATATATATATATATATATATATACTACATAAATCATATCATTTATAAGTCAAATTTATATTTTAATGTTGTTAAGGTGCTAAAATATTAATGATATATCCTCAAAAATTTATCTTGATTAGGCACAAATCTCGATGCAAATTTATGTTTGAAACTTTTGAAATTCAATTTAGAACCATCTGAACTCTGATTTTAGCAAACTTATAATCGACTTAACGTCTCGAAAAGATGAACCTAACGAAACCAAATTCGATCAAATCTGAGCCCGAATGGGTCCAATTGAAGACTCGAAGCTCATTTGGAATGTTTAAATTCTAAATTGGATGACCAAACGATTTCCAAATGTGACATTCTTATATTTGAATCGAGCAGCTCAACTAGACGAATCCAACGAGTATAAGATTGTTGAATTCTTACATTATTAAGGCACTGAGATATGCAATTAATAGTCCACAATCAATGGAGTCAATATCGATAGTCCATTCAAAACACTCCCAACATGACATTGATCTTCTCCCTATTTGATGGTCACGCAGCTCTTAAAACATTATAAATAGTTGCCTTATTCTTCATTTATAAGGGAGGGGAGCAAGAAAGAAAAAAAGTAAAGGAGAGTAAGAAAAACATGATATATCTCTTATCACCAAGCTCCTTCTCGACCACTGCCCGACGTACACTGACTGTCATCAGACTTATGCTCGGCCATCGGTTATTGTTGGACTTATGCTCGACCACCAACTATTGTCGAATTTAAGCCTGGCTATCAACCATTGTCGGACTTGCATTGGACTTTCGGCCTAACCTTCAACTATTATGGGATTTACATCTAGCCACCGACCATTGCCGGACTTCGGCCCACCACCAATTTTTGTTGGACTTAAGCCAGGCCACTGATTACCATGGGATTTCCTCCCCACAATCATCTCCCAACAATGGTCTTTCCCACATCTGTTTCATGCCGACTACGGTCGTTCCTACCTCCGTCGCCTTACTAAGATCTTTTTTATCTCTATTGCCAGCAAACTACGATCCTTCGGACCTAGCCTTCATTACCATATAGAAGTCCTTCTGACATTTGTCGCCTGTCGACTGTAATCTTTTTAACATCTATCGCCCGCTGACTATAGTTCTTCGGACCTCTGTCGCCTAATAACAGTCCTTCTAACCTCTATCACCCACCAACTACAGTCCTCCCTACCTTTGTAGTCATACTATGGCCCTTTCAATCTTTGTCACCCCCCAATTACGGTCATTCCTACCTCATTTTCCAGACCATTATCTTTTCAAACTTTGTCACCGACCAACTATAATCCTTCCGACCTCCATCACCTGAGAACAATCTTTCCAACATCCGTCGCGCGTCCGCCGACTGTGATCTTATCAACCAAATAAATGTGTCAATATCGATTCTTCTAATTCCCATCATGTAATACACTTTATATGATTTATACTTGCTACATCAAGCTAGCCCCCAAAGAAGGGCCTCATATTTAATCAATTGCAAACAATAATAGATTAATTCAAACTAGGCTAAGCTCCGTGTTTTTCCTCATTATTAGAGGTTTTCATGTAAAAACTCTAGCGTTTCTTATGAATGATATCTTTCATCTGTTTGTTAGATAAATTTTCGTACAAAGGTAAGAAGTTAAATTTTATATTTATCTACCGTCGCGAATATTCAACGATGCAATAATTATATAAATAAATATCATATTTTTATATTTGATGTGTTGATACAAAAAAAATGTAATAAATAAATATGTAAATCCCCTTATTTATTCTATTTTAAGAACAATATTTATACCATATAAAAATCTTGCATTATGATAAAAAAACATAATTTTATAATCACCATTGATTTTCAGGGTGACCTGTTGGGCTTTGTAAGCTCATTATATGTGGTTAATAATTTCAGGTGCAGGGCCTCCAGTCTGAAGATCTTTCTGTTGAGTTCAGCTTTTTGTTTTGTAGTCTTAGGTAGGCTTTCTTTTGTAGCCTGTGTGGCTAGTGTAGATATTTCTTTTGGACTCTTTTATCTGTTATCTGATTGTACTATATGTGAATTATAGTATCCGCTGCTGTTTCTTTTCTGTAATGTAATTATCTCTGGCTCTGGATGTATGTACTGATACGAACAACGGATAAAGAAACTGAAAAAAAAAGAAGAAAATGATGAATGATCGATCAGAGGAATCCTTTCGCTACACGGATCTTGGGGTCGTTACATAAATTTATATGAAGAATTTGCATACAAATATGAATTAAAAAGAGGAACGCATCCTTATTTGGCCTAAAAGGATGACATATAGGTAAGAACACGCGGTGACAATTAAGCTATGTGTTCTTCCCTCCATACTTTAAAATGAATGACTTTATATATTATATACACTATGGACAAGCTAATTTACTGAAAGTGTTCCAACTTGAGAGCATACCATACGCAAGAAAGTCACCAATTATTCAAAATAATGATATCCTCATTATGAAATTTTGTTTGATAGAGATATAATTTGTACCTACTAAATTTTTTCATAATAAATTTAAATAATCAAGTAATGATTATAAGAATACATCGATCTTTACTTTTGGATTATGTGACACTGAAACGATAAGCATTAGAAACATATAAGAAATAGTCATACACAACTTTGAGGGAAAATTATAAGGGGTGAATATCACGGGCCATCATAACTAAGGTGAAGTTGATTAGCTAAATGGAGGAGTAAAATCATGTATGCATAAATCTAATCTTATATTTCTTGATACTGTGGTGAATGTGAGATGTGTACAAGCAAAGTATTTATAGGCCTCTACTTATGACAGATGTGTAATAAAACCTTCTTGCGATATGTGTTTATTATGTCATATTATATATGCAGCATATCTCATGAATGCATATAATTGTTGTAGTATATAGGAATTATGGATAAGTAAAATATCCTACTGATTAGTACCTCCTTTGCATACAAATGAATTAAAAAGAAGAATGCATCCTTATTTGGCCTAAAAGGATGCATGACATATAGGTAAGAACATGCGGTGACAGTTAAACCAAATGTTCTTCCCTCTATGATTTAAAGCGAATAACTTTGTATATTTTATACACTATGAACAAGCTACTTTTCAAAAGTATTCCAATCTGAGAGCATACCATACGCAAGAAAGTTACCATTATTCAAAGTAATGATGTCCTCATTATAAAGTTTTGTTTGGTAGATATATAATATGTACCTACTAACTCTTTTCATAGTAAATTTAAATCATCAAGTAATGATTATAAGAATACATTGATCTTTATTTTTGGAATATGTGACCCTGAAATGATAAGCATCAGAAACATATAAGGAATAGTCATTCACAACTTTGAGGGAAAATTATAAGGGGTGAGTACTACGGGCCATCATAACTAAGATGAAGTAGATTAGCTAAATAGAGGAGTAAAATCATTTACGTATAAATCTAATCTTATATTTCTTGATTCTGTAGTGAATATGAGATGTGTACAATCAAAGTATTTTTAGGCCTCTACTTATGACAGATGTGTAATAAAAATTTCTTATGAGATGTGTTCATTATGTCATCTCATATGTGCAGCATATCTCATGGATACATATAACTGTTGTAGTCTAGGAATTATAGGTAAGTAAAATATCTTACTGACTGGTACCTCTTTTAACTTTTTTTCATCATAAACTTTAATTTAAAATTTGATGCATTACAATAACGACATACAATATCTGATAAATCATCTTTATAATATATATAATATGTTTTCATTGACATAATAATATATCTTTGTGTATATCAAATCAAATTTAGAAATCAACTTCTTTATTTGATATAAATATGCATGAATTATGTTACATGTCAAGTTATTTTTCTTAAGTAGTATAACGAATTTATTAAAACATTCACAAATGATATTATATTCTTCCTCGATGCTTAACATCTTTACAACAACGGATAACTCTGAGTGATTGCTGCACCCATTTTATATTGGTTATTGGGCAGGATGCAACAAATCATAAAAATTACATGCCTCCTTATTTGGTAACTCTTGTATATATTATTCAGATTATACTTCAGTTGCATCGTGAATTAAGTCCTCAAGATCTGGTCGGATATTTTTCTTCCTCAACTATATCAGAACTTATAGACGGGTTGCATCAAGAATCAAAATGTGGCTCATACTCATCATGAGAAGTATAATACCAATATTTTGGCATGAATCCTTTGCGGTATAGATAAATAATTACATCATCTCACCTTAGGTGTACTTAATTTTTATGTTTAAAATATAGGTATTGAAACTTTTCATCTGATATGAAGTTGGGATGTTGAAAAGCTGTCTAAATAAAAATATTCACTCCATTAATGAACTCGTATGTTAATGTCTTTTGTTCTTGTATCAATCAATTATATATCAAACTTCTTTAATTTCTAATATATCCATAATATAGACTATATATAATATGAAGATATTAGATATTATTATAAAATCTGTAGTTTTAGACTGGTTTCAATTTTATTTGTAAAACAATAGTGTTACTCACACATGTATCATATCAATGAAAAATCTAGCAGCTTCCCAACATCTCTCTCATTTTGAAAAAAAAATACAAAGAGTCTTAGCATGCCCGCCACGTTATGAAAGACGTGTACGATCAATGTCAGGTGACACCGCGGTCGTGACATTTAATCCTACCACGCTAAGAAATGTACATATAGGTGTTCAAGGGGGTACCTAAATGAAAATGTAGTTTGTGCCAGAAAAATTTCGTCGAATTTACCAGCATAAGTCAAATATAATACCTCTACAACTTTTTTAACATAAGCGAAATCTAATACCTCTACTTTTTTTAAAGCCAAATTTTCTTTAAGTTTGAGGGATCTATTTCTATCACACAATAGGCATGATGCATTCTTCCACTTCAACTATCCAACTTGAATTCTACTAATAATATATCTATCATTTTCACCGTCGCTTAGACCAA